CCAGCTGTTTACCTTCACAGACATAACCGACTGTTTTTGTAACTCGTGTATTTTTAACGTAAACTTGTGTGTGAATGAGAACTTAAGATTAGTACTCACATGCTGTGACAGCAGCTTTCCGTCCATGTCCTTCGGATGTGTGCGCTCAGGAAACCTTATATCTGAAGTTTAAACTCATATGGTTTAAAACGCATGATTTCAGCTTGATAAACATGATAATCAGAACCAAAACAGATGTTTTTAGCAGATACAAGCTGTAAAGGCGCAGCTCTATTCTGGAAAAGGGGGCGGGGAGCAGCAGCTCATTTGCATTTAAAGACACAGGCCTGAAAAACAGCTTGTTTCTGCTTCCACTCAAAATAGGCATTTTCAAAATTATATAATAAATTATCTGTGGAGTATTTTGAGCTGAAACTTCACAGACACATTCTGGGGACACCAGAGACTTATATTATATATTGTAAAAAGGGGCATAATATGTCATAATATATCAAACAATGCAACCAAAGTAGCCTGATTCTCAAAACAAATGACTCTTATTAGGCAGAGTTATCGTTATGAATCAGTCTGAAACACTGCTCTTGCCTTGTATGAATTAGAGCATTAACAAAGACAGCATTTCTTTCGTATTTAAGAAAAATGGCAATGAAAAATTTAAATATACCCAACTCAAATCAGAATCGAATCAAGAGCTTGTGACTCACTAACAATTCAATAAGTATCAATAACCAGCCCTACATGCACAATCATTATTTCCAATTAAAGTGTGTGGTTGAAACTGTTATGGCTTGTTGGTCATGCTGGATGCTGTTCGATTTCAATGCAAAGGTTCCAGATTTCAAATTCTGCCACATTGCCAGAATCGTAAAGGAGTGGTTCGAGGAACATGTGGGTGAATTTCTGTTAATGCCTTGGCTTCCAAATTCACCTGACATGAACCCAATCAAAAAGCGAGTTTGTGCTACATCACTACCACCCCTCAATGTACAGGAACTGGAAGACCTGCTGTTGACATTATGGTAGCAGATACCCCAGGAGACCAATCTCCACCAACAACCTCATTGAATCAATGCCTTGATGCGTGGCCACTGTTTTGTGGGCTAAAGGAGGTCCCACAGGTTATTAGATAGGTGGTCATAATGTAATGGCTCATCGGTATATATTAAAGGGATAGTTCACCCAGAAATTTAAAAAAAATTGTCATTGATTACTCACCCTCATGTCGTTCCAAACCAGTAAGACCTTCGTTAATCTTCAGAACACAAATTAAGATATTTTTGATGAAATCCGAGAGCTCTCTGACCCTCCATAGACAGCAAGGGCAAAGAAAGGTACCAAGGACATCGACAAAATAGTCCATGTGACATCAGTGGTTCAACCGTAATTTTATGAAGCTACGAGAACACTTTTTTGTGCAAAAAACTAACAAAATTGTTAAATAAACAAAATTGACTGTAGCAAATGACACTGATTCTTACAGCCAACAGCACTGTGTACCAAACCTGCCACCGTGTATCTTGAAAAATGACACTGTAGGCAAAGATTTATAATCAATATAATGATTCCATATCTCAAGTTTAGCATTTCCACTAGGAGTGCGATGGGGGGGAGGGGTAATTGGTTACGTCGCAATGTTGGAAATATTTCTGTTTTAAACCATGAAGGCGAGCCAATGGATATCACACAAGCACACGTGCAAACTTGCGCAAGAGTAATGCTGGTGAACGTCTTAATCTGAGGCAATTCACTATGCAGAAAGTGAAAGTAAAAGCGGAATGATGGAGCTTTCGCCATCTGACGCCGCAAATTCTCTCAGAGACGACGAGAGACGAATCTACTTCAACATATGCTGATAACGGTATAGCTGTCTTCATTTAATCCCTTAATATTTCTCTTGTGGCCTGTACATAGTGAAAAAAAATGAGAAGAACCGTATTTTGTGTTAAACAGGTTGTTTTTGAAACTCGTGCTTGAAATAAAAGCTTTTTATTTAATTGATTTTTATTGATGACTGCAGTGTTAATATTTGAATTATAGGACTATAATTCATTAAAGACCTGTTTTAAAATACCTTTTTTTAAAACATTTTAATTGAGGAGTAAATAGCCTTGTCCTCGCAGCGTGTCAGTTATGCGTTAGGCCTAATTATTGTGGGGCAAATTAATTGTAATTTTAATTTAATAATAAAAGTAACTTCATAATAATAATAATAGGCCTAATAAAAATAAGAATGTAACAAGACATTCATTACTACATTAATTGGAAATTCCAAATCCTCTTAATATTCCCAATAATTGATGTTTTTGACAATATCTCTGGCTATCGTCGATAAGATCATCGTCTTTCGACACAACCCAACAAGGGAAGGTTATCGCGGGGCAGACAGCACTTTGCCTGTTACGTCGTTTGGGCTGCCTTGTTGAGCGCGGGGACACTGAGAACATTATATTTCACACACTTTAAGCTCTTTCATTTTCCAAATGTATGCTAATAGGATTAATCCAATGAATCGTTCGGTTTGTAATGTGTACCGAACCGAAAGCCTCGTACCGAATGGTTCAATACGAATACGCGTATCGTTACACCCCTAATTTCCACACATCACACTGCAAATAATAGTGTGAAAACGATTACTAAAAGCTGTTAAGTAGCACCGTAGTACAACAGTGAGAAGCCAGTGAGAATCAAAGCCACTGCCAAAAAAACACCCATCAGATAAACATCGTCAAGCTCTACATAGCGCACTCAGAAACACATTTAACATTACGAAAAGCAGCTCTATTCCCACAGACACACTGATCTGTGGCTACATTAATCATTAAAGCAACAACTGTCACATGATACGACTTATCTGTGCTTTAAATAATGATCCTCCGTGTGCGGCACTGCACAGACAGTGGCTGGCCATGAAGGCTTTCATCACAGTGATGAAATGTTCTTCGGTTGTACTGTGGCAGCAGGACCAAACAGAGTTTTAATCATTCATTTACTTCACCCTGGAAATACATATCATATTTACTCCTTAAAAGCAGCTATCGATGTTCGTCTCGCATGTCGCTGCAGCAGTTCTTAAATTCAGGGCCACGCAAATATGTTTAGAGGTCACTTTCCAATGTCAAACTGCATTATCACTGAAGGCGCACACAGACCTGTCTCTGGTTATAATTACAAACTCAAAATAGAGTTTGAGAGCGCATGGGGTAAAATAGCCCCGATAATGTCCTCGGCATATCTCTGTTTGAAGCTAAAGATATTCCATTTCACAATGACTTCGGGGGAGAATTTATTTTTATATGAAGTAACCTATAGAGTGTGACTGAATCTGACTCAAGCTTTTCCAACAATACACATGCATCATTCACAGCAACCCGAGCTGTATTATGCTTAGCAGTAATGGTCGGTTGCTGGTTGATATGGGAGCGGTTAAAAATCGTCCCAACGGTCCTCAATATTGCCATTGTTTGGAGCCATAAGGCATAGCAGCCCAGAACAGTGTCCCAAGCTAGCTGGAGCTCATTGTACAACATTTCAGGAGACATATTTTCATAACTCACACGTACTTTTCATTCAATTCTGCTGGTCTTTCTCCCTCTATCGCTCACTTGCTGTTCCAGGAGATTGACTGGCACCTCTTAAAAAGGTTAAGCAGTGCTTTTGAGTTTCAGGGGGATAATGCAAGCTGATTGCTGAACACACTTACCACAAAGCCATTCGATTGCAGAAAATGAATCCTAACACTACAGGTTCAAAGCAGACATGTGGTTGGAGGCCAGATTTATTTAATCCATATTTTTTTTAAACGTGCTTAAATGTCTGCACAAAATGCCACAGAAGAAAAATACAGCAACACTGACTCACCGGTTCTTTTGAATTTTTACCATTTTCAACATTTTTTGCCTTCACTAGTTAATTTTAAATGGTCCTGCGGTTTGACAAATTGCTTATTAAAAGTACAAAATATTCCATGTAGTTTTTTTTTTTTTAAAATAAACTCATAAAAGCTTTGAATTAGCATTAAAAGAATTAACATAGCACTTCACATGTCACACCTCAGGTTATCTCAACTTCCCAAACGCATTTCAATTTCGAACCATTTGCATCATCATTGTTTTTTGTTTCATTCATCACAGAAACTATAGAAAAAAAAAGGTCAGATGAAGTGTGCTATCCTCTTAAAGTCACAATGTAACAGAAATAGTGACAAATCTTTTCTTCTGTATTGCCATGTACATCCAAGTTAAACTGATTTCTGAAAAAGAAAAAAACGCAGGGCGGGGACTCCAATCCATCGGTTGTTGATTTGATGGAGGCAGATCTGAATGCGAGTGAGCTTGCAGTCAATTAAGAAAGAGGTGGAGTTTAAGCAGACAAAATGATTAGATAGTGGACAAAATTTAGAATTATGACATTTTGATTGAAAATTACAATCTAAAAAAAAAAACATGCATGAATAAATGTTCACAATAAAAAGATGTATTTAGTAAAAATACATTTCATTTCAACTTTAAAGCGCACTGAAAGCAGATCACATCAACCCAAATATCTCATTTCTCACATTGACACCACATTTCAAAACAAAAATTTCCTCCTTTTGCTTGTCTTTAGTCATAATCCTTCTAAACATATGATGCAGCCAGCTGGTTGTTTGACTTGGTATAACTGTCACATAGTGTAACACTCTCGTAAGGATATGGACATATGAGACCTAAGCCTTACAGCCTTGCACGGCCTATGCTCATTTTTTATTCTCTAACTTTTTATGGTCTAAATTCATCACTGTCCTCTAATCTAAATGTGGTGTACACTTGTGAAGAGGGTGTTTGCTGCCAGCACTGCGCCGCTGGGAAAAAACGGCAGACGGCTCTCCAGAGTCTCTTTACTCTCATATCTGACCACTAGAACCAATTATCTCCAAAACGTCCAAGTCTGAGGACCAAGCCATTTCTTAAATGCACTGGTGGTCTTAGATTCAGACTCACTCAATGTTACAGATGTAGAAAACATTGAGCAAATCACAACAGTGGACTATTTTACCACATGTCCATAAAGCTAGATCATCAAATGATCACTTGGCTTACCAGATCAATATGGCTGCAATCTTGCACCTGCAAAAGCTGACTGAAATTTCATATTTCATAACTTCACAACATCTGATATGTAAACAGAAGCAAACTACTGTGTAAGAGGTTTGAGTTTGGGCATTTCAAATAAAATAACATTCAGAGTAAACAATAACAAAATTGGTTTAAATAATGAAGAGAGCAAAAGCTGAACCATGCTGTATGTTTAAACCATCATAATCATAGTTGAAAGTGGCACAAGATGAAAAGCACAACTAGTTTTAATAGGATGGAGTACTGGTATAGAACAATCGAGAGAGAACACCCATTAAAATGAACATCATTTCACTAACAGTGAAATTGGACTCTATTCTATGGAGCGGCATGCTGACTCTTAATACTTTTTAAATTGATTTTCATATAGAACTCCCGCGGGGGGCAATTCCATTTCCATACGAGCTTGTGTGGCACTCTATTCACTCAATTAATCGCATAATACGATCAATTTCTGCACCAAGAGAAGTCACACACCAGCGTGTTCTTATAAGAACAGCTTAGTGTTTTAGCCTTTTTATAGCATGCTCCAAGCTCTGTTACATAGTATAAAACACAGAAAACATGGCTGGAAGAATGTAAAGAGAAATGGTAGCATTTTAGATATGTCATCCCCTGAACCACAGGAGGGCTAACAGCAACACTGTAATTTACAAGTTTGCCAGAGCTGGTGATATACAATACTGCAGAACCCTGTAATTGTCTTTGAGAGTGCATGCAAAGAAAAGACGATTCCTATAACCTGAATGATCAGCAGGAATATCTTAAGAATCCCCAATAGTCATTCTGTTATTGACAGTGCAACAATATGAAAAGATCTATTAAAGTATATACAGGCCTTCCTATAAGTTGTTCAGATGACTAAATGCACTAATGTTTCAATGTATTCTAAATGGATAACAATAATTGTACAAATAATATAAAATAAAATAAAATAAAGAGTTGGTATGTTTTCTAAGGCAGGTTAAAGTTAGGGTTAAACTGTGAAAGTTAACTGTAAAAATGCTTTGGAACAATATTTATTGTAAAAAAGTGCAATACAAATTAATTTAAAATGTTTCTCTTTAATTTTATACATCTAACATTACTTTAGTGGACAGGAAAAAGATGCACCTAATATACATTTAATTTATGATTTCCAGATAATGTCTTTAAAACACAGTAAGTCAATATAAATCTACATGAAAATATAGTGCTAGAAATAATTTTTTTAAATTTATTATTTTTTACACATTAAAATATCATAAGTTTGCAGTCAATAAGAATTTTAACGTTTTGAATTTTAATGTGTTGGGAGAAATATCTCTTATGCTTACAAAGGATGGATAAATGTACCGTAAAAAACAAGAACAATGTATAATTTTAAATAATTGTTTTCTATTTTGATATGATGTATTTTATTCCTGTGATGGCAAAGCTAAAATAATTTCCAGCAGCCATTACTCCAGTCTTTAGTGTCACATGATCCTTCAGAAATCATTCTAATATGCTGATTTGGTGCTCGAGAAACATTTTCTTTTTCTTATCACCATTGCAATAGTTGTAATTCTAACTATTTTGGTGGCAAAAACATTTTTTCAGGATTCTTTGGTGAATAGAAAGTTCAATAACAAAAAATAACCTTTGAAATTCATAGTATGATTTGAGACATTAGCCATGAGAGCCTGAACAGCTGTTAATATTTTGAAGCAGTGAACACTGTCACACTTACATA